GGAAATAAATAAACCAGGTGAAAGCAGAGCCCACGAGGTCAAGTTGCAAAGTGGGCACGTACAGAAGATGCAAATCATCTGTGTCCTGTGTCACACAAGAAATATGAATCCACAAACCCCAAACTCCCTCATTTCAGGCCCCTGCTGTGGGATTTTTCCCAGGCTGACTCTGCTGTAGCTCCCGGGTTGCTGCTGCAATTCCTGGCTGGCACGAGGAACAGCACATGGATGGGACCAGCAGGAGGAAGATGAGTTTGCTTTTCCCGTGTCAAAGACAAGCACAAGGGGTTGAATTCAGCCCAGATGTGAGAGCTGAACCTCCCTGTGGAGAAGTCCAAAAGCCCCCAGCATGATAAGAAATGAGTGATTTGGAGAAACCACCTACACAAGGTCCTGCTGGGCCAAGGCACCCGTGGCCTTGAGCTTGAGCTCCACGGTGGTGGCACCAAGGACAGAGATGGGCAATGACCAGGTGTGTTTAGGGGAGAAATTCTTCACAGAAAAGGTGGTTAATCACTGGAAGGGGCTGCCCAGGGAGGTGGTAGTGTCCTCATCCCAGGAGGTGCTCAAGAAATGACTGGACGAGGCACTCAGTGCTCTGGTCTAGTTGACAAGGTGGGGATGGGTCACAGGTTGGAATTGATGATCTTGGAGGTGTTTTCTAATATAAATGATTCTGTGACTCTGTGATTCTGTGACTGTGACTCTGTGATCCTGGGGTTCTGTGATTCTATGACTCTGGGATTCTGTGACTGTGGTTCTGTGACTGATTCTGTGGCTCTGTGAGTCAGTGGCTCTGTGATTCTGTGATTCTGTGGCTCTGTGATTCTGTGATTCAGTGGTTCTGTGACTGCTCACAGCCCGCCCATGACCTTGAACATCTTTTCCACCCTTCCAGCGCATGATTCGGGGGAGAAAGCAGCGACGGGGGCGGCGGCACAAGTATCGAAACGTTTGTTCAGCAGTTGCTGCAGAAAAGCAAACTCGCTTCAATCTGCAG